CCCTGGAGCAGCTCCTTGGCCCCTCTGGTCTCTCTCTGCTGGGTGAGCTCCTCTCTGATTTCAGGCATTTTTCATTCTCCAGTGTGGTAGGGGAGTGTCCTAAAGGTGCCTCTGGCTGCTGGCAGGTGATGTGATATTTTATTTATTCAGCATTAATAATTCAGCCCAGCCCTGTGAGCATCCCATTCCACTCTCAGACTGCAGCCAGCAGATTCAGCCAGGGTGTTCTTGTGAGAGGGAGCTGTGCTGTGTTCCCTTCTGTGCCAAATCCCTCTCTAAACACTACCCAGGTGTAAGAAAAAGCAATAATTTGATATTTTGATGCACACAGGCCTGTTTCTAAACGAGCAGTCACTCCATGTTCTGCCTCTGACCCTGCTGCTCCCTCTGTGGTAACACAATCCTGGGTTTTTGTGTCCTCAGTGGGTGACTTTGTTTCACATCTGGGTCACTGGAGCTTCTTATTCCTTTAATAATAAATGGCTGCAGCAGAGATTAAAAAGACCAATTGTTGCATAGTAAATTCAGAGTTGTCACCTCTGTTGTACCATTGAGTGCCTTTTTTTTATTGCTCTTCACTGTATTTACTTGCAGGCTGATTGTAATTTGTAAATTACTGATAAATAATTATTGATAAATAATTATTGATAAATAAAAAGACCCTGGCAGAAAGTGCTTTCAGTGCAGGATTAATATTATTTATATTCATTATCCCAAAATCTCTGAAGATTTAGTGCAAATACTGTGATACAAAACTGGGGAAACTTCACTGTCCATCTTAGAATCACAGAATAATTCCAGGTGGAGGGGATTTTAGGGATCATCTCATTCCAGCCCCTGCCCACTATCCCAGGCTGCTCARAGCCCTGACCTTGGAATGGCTTCATGGTTTGCCATTTTCCACGTGTTAAAAAGGAGAATTAATGTTTAACCTCTTGAAATCTGGGACAAGGGGTAACTTCTGCCAGGGCTTTCATCCCTCTTGGATACGAGGTTTTTTGTGGAAACGCCTTTCTCTTGTGCACAATAAAAGGCAGCTGGTTCAGGTGTGTTTGAGAGCAAGATGTGAAGCAGGAAATATTAAAATTAGATTATTTCAGCTCTGGTTTTGCTTATTCTGTTGGATTTGATAGTGAAGGAGCTGCTTGGCAGCATTTCCATGGCTGGGTTAATTAATTTGGTAGCTCTTGAATGTCTTCTCAACTTTATAAAGTGATTCCTTAATGGCTCTGCCTGAACCTGATATTCATCTTGAGCACAGTGACTGCTTAGGAATGGGTTGGACTCAGCTTTTTAGCAGTGAGGGGGTCTTGAGAGAGACTCAGGCAGATCCACAGATCCTTTTTGTGTTCTGTTCCTCCTGCTCTGTCCCCACAGCCCCAGCTGCAGCTCTCCCCTTGCTGTTCAAGGGCCCTCTTTCCCTGAATTCCAAACAGGTTTGCACTTTTTCCTGAAGTCCTCTTGACATTTGGAGAGAGCTGCTCACAGAACTCCCCATTCCTCAGATCTCCTTCTCATTCCTTTCCTACAGAGCCTGCAGAAACCCTGTTGTTCAGGCTGAGGAGGGTGCACAGGTCATGCTTCCTGCACTCTCTGTCCATAGGTAGCTCCCTGATGTTTTATTTTTCATGATTTTCATGTTAGGAGATCGTGCAGGGGTGAGGATCCCWTGGAGACAGCACAGGGAAAGGAGCAGCACTGCAGTTCTGTGTTTCTGCTGTGCCCAGGGACCAGCAGAGGTTTTGTACTCTTGTTTCCTTGAAAAAACTCATTTCCTGGATATTGAAAGAAAAATGCCATTTTCTGCTCTGTGAATTTTGGAAAAGCCCCTTTGAAAAGCCCCTTTGACCACAGCAATCCTCCCACAAAATAAACCAGGGGATGGAGTTCTGCATCTCCTGGGTTTGGGGCCAGGAGGTGTTTGTCCACCACACACWCAGGAAATCCCAATTTCCTTCTGTTTTCCCAGCAATGTGCTCTCCAGGCTGATTTTTGCTGCTTTGCTCAAGGCTGCTTTGCCTCTGAGGARGGTGAGCAGCTGTTTGGGATGTTGCTGCTGGTGAATTTAGAGGTTTGGGGTTTTTCCAGCCGGGCACTGTTAATGCTGTGCACAAAAGGGCAGCAGTTCTGCATGTCTCACCCCTTCCAGGGTGTTTGTTCCCATCAGGACCCAGCAGTTCARGCTGGCCCAGCACCCAGGAGGTGATAAAAGCCTTGATTCTGCTGCTCTTTTTGTCAGCTCTCTCCATCCTGAGGTGACAGGAATGTGTCACCCAGCTCTGTCTCCCTGTCTGATCCTTCCCAAACACAGCTCTGTGCCACCAGGATTCCTGAATGCATGGGCTGGGCTGCTATTTCTGGATTTCTTGGAAGCCATGTGCCAGGCAGGCATGTAACTTGGAAAAGCAAAGGGCATTTTGTGCCTCCTCAGCTCCAGCATCCTGCTCTGTGGTTGGGAMTGGGGTTTTTGGCTGCCTCACTCTGCCTTTAATTTGGGTTCTGAAGGGCAGGGAGCTTTTAACCTCARTTTGTGTGAATTTGAGCTGCTGCCTTCAGAGCAACTGGATCCTGCAGGCTTGAGTTTCCTGCACGGGAGATTTATTGGCAAAACTTCAGCTGATAAAGGGAGATAAAAAATCCCAGAATGGTTTGGGTTGGAAGGGACCTTAAAGATCATCCCATTCCACACTTTGCCATGTCAAGGACATTTTCCACGGTTCCAGGGTGCTCCAATCTGGCTTTGGACACTTCCAGGGGCAGCCACAGCCAGGAATTCCTTCCCAATATCCCATCCATCCCTGCCCTCTGGCACTGGGAACCCATTCCCTGTGTCCTGTCCCTCCATCCCTTGTCCCAAATCCCTCTCCAGCTCTCCCCTTTATGCCCTAGAAGGATTTATTTTCTCTGGATGTGTGTTTTTATTGCAATGTTACATCTACAAGACATGCAGCACTTTAATCCTGCACTAAACTTTCAACCTGAAACACTCGGTCTGCAAAAGGGAACCTTTYCCTACAAATCAGAACAGGCAGGAAGCACTTCCCTAGGAAAGAGAAYAAAAACACTGAATTATATAATATTTTCTACCTTTCTTTGAAATATTTCAGTGTCCTCAGGCTGCTGCTAGATGAACTGAGGTAGGAAGGCCAGCTGGGAGGATGGGATTTGATGCAGCTCTTTCTGGAAGAAATAGGAATTGTTGCCTTTGTGGCAGTGTTTGATGTGCTCTGCAGCAGCCAGGTGAAGGTGCTGCATCCCCTCTCCCTGTGGAGGAGCTGGGGCTGATGGAGCACAGCACCTGCACAGGTAAAAACAACAACTCAGCTGCCTCATTTATTGTTTTGGGAAATATCTGAGCTTGTTTAGTCGGTGGGAGAAGCCTCAGGAGGTGSGAATGTGTTATGGGGCAGGAGCTCAAGGAATCTGTAGGATTTTTGTAAGGAAAACACTATGAAACGCTTGGATGGAGAAACAGCTCCCACTGTACCCAAAACAAGGTGGGAACTGGCAGGGAAGATGGAAGAGGGGAGTTGGGAAGGGACACAGGGTCTGGTTGTGCTGCATTCCCCTATTCCCACTATTCCTGGGGTTTCTGGATGATTCCTGCTCTCCTGTTCTCAGGCASAGCCAGCAGGTGCTTCCCAAGCACATCACAGATCCCATCAGCCCCTTGGACGTCCTGGATTTGGGAAGCTGAGGAGGGAGTTGTTATTTTTTTGTTTGGAAGTTTTTTTTAAATTTAATAGCTTAAAATATTAATTTTTAATCTAATACTTTAGAGGGAGTAGAAAGGCAAGCTGTACATTTAAAAAAAAGCTCTTAAAAATTCTTTAAAAATCTCTTACAGTGATGACATTCAGGAGAGAAAATTTGATAGGTAGTTATATCTTCCATGGTTTAAGTCCARCAAAAAAATTTCCTGATTTTAGACAATAGAAAGTCACTCAGTGTTTTGAGAAGGTGTTTTTGTATGGATTGTTAGGATATATCAAGCTGTAAATACAAAAGATTTCCAAGCAGTTCATATTGCACTTACTGGACTAAAACCCTGTTCAAACCAAACTTTTCTTTCACAAGTTGGACTATTTTATGCTTTTTAAGACTAAGACAGCAAATCAGGATTAAAGCATAGAGTGGAATCATAGAATGGCTTGGATTGAAAGGGACTTGAAGGCTCATCTAGTTCCATACCCCAATAAATATTATCATAATTTCATACACTGAATCAAACARGTTTTAAGCTGGGGGTGCTCASCTRGAGAAGGGAAGGATCCAGGGAGWGCTCAGAGCCCCTTGCAGGGCCTAAAGGGGCTCCAGGAGAGCTGGAGAGGGACTGGGGACAAGGGATGGAGGGACAGGACACAGGGAATGGCTTCAAACTGGAAAAGGGGAGATTGGGGTGGGATCTTGGGAATTGGGAATTGCTGGCTGGGAGGGTGTGGAGGTCCTGGCACAGGGTGCCCAGAGAAGCTGTGGCTGCCCCTGGATCCCTGGAAGTGCTCAAGGCCAGGATGGATGGGGCTTGGGGCACCCTGGGACAGTGGAAGGTGTCCCTGCCATGGCAGGGATGGGATGGGATGAGCTTTAAAGTCTCCTCCAACCCAAACTTCTCCAGGATTCTGTGTCAATGTTCCCACATTTCAGTGAGCTCCTGGCAGGAATCCCCAAACACTTTGATTTCCTGGCTGGTTTGTTCTGGGTTTTAATCAAAACCCATTCAAATGGAGGAAACACCAGCCAGCCACAGCTCGTCCTGGTTGATATTTTCAGCTCCATCTCTTGCTGAACCCTCTGCCCGTTTGTTTGAGTGTGAAAATCTGTGCCCACAGTCTGTGCAGACCCAAATGCAAGAAGAGGCAGCATCACAGTCAAAAACATTTGAAAATCAGTGTTGTGAAACTCATCCCTCCGAGCTGCTGCAAGGCTCTGTTCGTGTTCCAGGCAGCGGGTTTGTTGTGTGGATTCTCGCTGGAAATGTGTATCAAACACTGGCACTTCTGCTGCCATTCATATTTAYATTCACTAATGACTCAGGCTCTTGAAAAATCATGGTGAAATTATATGTTCCRTGGCTTTAATTTCCCGTTGCTAACRAGGGAATGATTTGCACTGCCTTGTTTGTCCTCCTCCCTGCYGCAGCCTGAAAACGTTGCTCAGTTTCCAAGCTGAGTTTCACAGGCAAAGCTGCCTTTATTTTTTTTTTTTTAATTATTTTTTTTTGTACTGGCCACTTCCCAAATCTCATGGTTTCTGGTGTTTCTCCCTAAAATACTTCCTGGGAAGCTGTAGTTTTTTTATCCCAAAGTGTAGGATTTGAAGCAGTTCATCTTCTTAGAGACCCCATGAACATAGGACCCATATTTATTTATTTATTGCTGTAGAAATGTAGGATTAATCTGTGATGGTTAAGAACCGTGTTGCATTCCTGCTTTTCCCCAAAAATCCCTCCTAGAAACCTATAACCAGAAGACTGTTTTTTTAAGCATGGTGTGTATGAAATATTCAAATTCTGGCTCTGTCTGTTTAATTTTTGCCTTTTCTCCTCCCGTATCACCCTTTTGCTTGAGATGAGGATTTTTATTCTTTGGCAGCCTCATTTCATTCTGATTTCTGGGGAATAATTTCCAGCAGGTGCAGGTGKAGGAAGGGAAGGAGGACAGAAAGCTGCTTCTCTTTTCAGCCAGGCAGCAGGGAGGAGAATGAAAGGCTGGATGAGTTCAAACCTGCTTTACTGAGACATCCAAGAGCAATCTGAGGATATTTTTCCAAAACCCATCCCAGCTCTCACTGCAGTGTCTGAGCACATCCATTTTAGTGGATTTTTCTCTTCCCAATCTCCTGCTGCTCCCAGTGATGGAGAAGAGGGCAGGATGGGTTTAGTAGGGCAATRCCAAGGTTGTGGCAGAGATGGGAGTTGATTCTGAGTCAGGTGTGGCTCAGGCTCCTTCCATCCTCCTCAAATTAAAAAAAAAAAAGGAGCTGAACCTCTTGCCAGGAGAGGAATGTTCAGTGCTGGGGASAAAATGGGAGAGAATCCAGCGAGAAGGGAAATGCCACTGTGCCAGCAGTCCCTGCTGTGCCAGGGCAACACAAAAATACTCAGAGGGAGCTGCTCACTGCTTCAAACACGGCTGGCACTTCTGGAAATGCTTATTTCAATGGGATGTCTTGGTTTGAAACAACACTTGGGTCTTGGAGTGACTTTAGGGTCACTGTGGGGTGGCTGTGGTGGCTCTGGAGAAGAGGGATGACGCATTGGTGTCAGTGACCACCAGCCCTGCTGCTGGTTTGCAGATTGAGCTCCCATCCTGAGTGCAGGACAGGAACATTCCTGAACATATTGATCCCAATAATCTGCTGACCCTAAACTCTGTTTGCTCTCCCTCGTGGCCCAGCTGGTGAAGGGTCTACAGCAGGAGCTGAACCGGCTCTACTCRCTCTTCTGCTCGAGGAACCCTGAGTTTGAGGAGAAGGGAGGGAAGGTGTCCATCGTGTCCCATTCTCTGGGCTGTGTCATCACCTACGACATCATGACAGGCTGGAATCCTGTCAGGCTTTATGAGCAGCTGCTGCAGAAGGAGGAGGAGGAGGAGGAGCTGGAGGAGCAGCGCTGGATGAGCTACGAGGAGCAGCGTTTGCTGGAGGAGCTCTACATCACCAAACAACGGTAATGGCGCGCTCCCAGTGAGCCAGGAAAGTTAGAGAATAAAGCAGATAAATTTAATAACAATCCAGGTTTACTGGTACACTGACAGCAGACAAAGCCTCCTCCTGAGGCTACACCCAAAAATGGACCCTGAGTCATGAGATCTKCCCCTTTTATAAGTTCTGTCTTATTAACATAGAGCCCCAATTCTCCAATTCCACCTTCAGGTGATCATGTCACCCACCCCAAGCTTGCTCGCCACAATTCTCTTTTTTTTGCATATTTTGGGGCTCTGAGGCAGTGAAGTGTCCTTGGATTTCAGGCTCAGAGAGGAATTGTTTATCTAAAGGTGGGAAAACGGTAGTTTTAGCGCTGTATTAGAGAAGTACAAGAATACAGATACATGAAAATATAGAAGCTAAAAAATCCCAAGGCATCACYAGGGGTCAGGGGAGATAAGCACATCCCTGAAAAACGCCCTCAGGGTGTTCCCAGAGCTCTCCAGGGCTCTTATCTCTGGTGGCTGATGTTCTTCTGCACAGATCAGGCACAGGGAGCTCTGAATCCACCCAGATCCATGGAATGGTTTGGGTTGGAGGGGAACCTTCAAGGTCATCCATGAGCAGGGACACCTTCCACTGTCCCAGGGTGCTCCAAACCTCATCCAGCCTGRCCTGGAACCCTCATGGGGATGGGTGCGGGGTGTCTTTGTCAGCTTCAAGGCTGGACAAAGGGCCAGAGCTCTGAGAGAAGGTCAGTTTGGGACCCTGATGAGGTGTTGTGGTGAGAGGATCACCCTTCAGGCACATCACAAACATCTGATCAGGGGAAAATGGCCATGTGCACACTCCAGCTCTTGAGCATCCTCTGAAGTGCTTCCACAGAAACCCCAAGTGTTGTTTGATATTGGCACTTCTGCACAGAATGAGTGGCTCTCCCTTTTGTGAGCAATTCAGTCTGAAATGGTGGAAAATGGAATTCTGCTGGGTTTGGGAGCAGTTTTACCCACCCAGATRTGTGCTTTACATCATAGCTGCTTTTTACATTCAGGCTAACCAGAAAAGCAGGTGAAAAGCCTTTTTCTGTGGTGGTTAAGAAGGTAGAACCCCATCCTGCAGATATTCCACCTCCATCCAGAGCTCCACAATGCCCAGACCATTCCCTGTGATTTTGGCATAGTTTTGGGGGGTTTAAAACAAAATAAATCAGGTGATTTGGCTGCAAAAATCACCAAGGAAACGGGAGGTGAGTCAGCTGCTGCTGAGGAAGGAGGGTGGGCTGATGTTTGGGGTGGTGAGCAGAGGAATTGTTGTGTCTGGATTGATTCCTTCTGTGGCCAGARGAGTGGGATTTGACTGACACTGAATTCTTAACCAACTGCAGGAAATACTGACACCATGACTCTCTCTTCCCAGCAGACAAAACTGTTGGACCCCACAGGAATGCCTGCTTGGATCAGAGAGGTTAAAGCTGCATTTTTTATTGGATCTCAGAACGATCTCTATTTTCCAGGTTGAGAGAGATAGAAGAGAGGTTACATGAGTTAAAGGCATCCACCATATCAAAACCACCTGTCTTAAAATTTAAGGTATGTATGTTTGAGAGGTTTYTAATGAATATTTCTGTAAAGATACTCCTGCACTGTGAGCCATTCTGCTGACTTTTATTTTTCCCATGTCCCTAAACATGATTTTGGTAATTTGGATGGGTTGGATGAAGTGTGTACATGTTGCTGTATTCACAGATTATTGTTATTTATTGTAATTATAGACTTACAATCAATTTTTGAGCAGCCTGGGATAGTGGAARGTGTYCCTGCCCATSGCAGGGGGGTGGAATGGGATGAGCTTTGAGGTSCCTTCCRACCCAAACCATTCTGGGATTGTGTTAGGGATGTTTATATGAAATTAAATCTAAGCACATATCTAAATATATGTAAATATATAGATTATAAATACATTWAATACATAAAGTTGGTTATTTTATTATGCACACACAGAGAATTCTGTAGGAAGGTTAAAAACCATTTGGCAAATTGCATCAATCACATCTTTTAAACAGTTTCACTTCTCCTCCACTGAATAATCCATCTTCCTTGGGGACTCCTTCTAACATGTCACATCTCTGAGCAAATCTGATTGAATTTCCTCCAGGAGTGGATTTTCCTTCCAAATTACTCTGCTCTGACAGCCAGCACACTTTGAATCTCACCAAGCAGATTGCTTGCTAATCAGCTGTACAAATTGCTAAAATTCCTTATCTGTTGGAAAAGGCATTTTCCAGCTCCTGGGTGGGATGTGCAACACTTTCTTGTCGCTCAACTCCATCCTRAAGTATTAAACCATAAAAACATGACATGAGAGATGAGAATAAAATGGATTATTTTTTCTTAACTTGSCATTTTTCTTCCTTTCCGAGTTCAGAAGGGCTCTTGGAAGCCAAGGTCAATGTTGAGCCTTAAAAAAAGAGGAAACCAACCATAATTCATCTTGTCAAAGCCTCCTCCTTGTCATCACTGCTTGAAAAAATGTGTCAGGCTATTATCTCTCCCATCAAGGCAGCTGGAGTCAGCCTGGTCCTCCCCCAGCTCTGGGGAAGATAATTCTTCACTCAGAATTCTTCACTCAGTCGTGTTTAAGTTGAAGGGTTTTTCAAAAGCTGCTTTTTAGATGGAGAGGAGAAAAGAAAAGGGGGAAGAAAAGAGGGTTTTATCTCCCTAAAGAGATGAGATCTGTAATCTCCAGGTAACATTTCCACTGCAGTGCATCCTTTTTCTCACCCTCGCTGGCAGGGAGATTTTTTTTTTTCTTTTAAGCTTCACACTGGTGATCAGAGAGAGAAACTTTCCATTGAAATTATGGGTATTTCAGCAGGATGGGTGAAATAGGGGAACTGGTTTTTTGGGAGAAAACAGCTTTGTAGGTACCAGCCACCCATCCCTTGGCTCTTTTATGGACTAAAAAAAAATTATAAGTCCCAGGATGAGAGCGTAATACAGAGAACTGAGAGTTACAAGAAAAATAAAAGTTAATTAATAAGTACTTGCTAAAACTGATTTATAGCAATCACTTATTTAACATTTTACTTAGCTGAAACAAAGTGGAAAAAAAAATGCTAGGCAAAGCCAAAAATAAAAATCAACGCCAAAACAAAATATTAATAAAAGCAAAACCAAAAAATAAGAGGGACGTGTGTGACTTAATTCCTGCCCCCCTAAACTGACCAAAACCAACCTCAAAACCTAAACTAAAACACAAAACAGCACAAAAAAAAGTTAAAAATTTAACCCCTAAAAAAAAGTTTAAAACCCCCTTATTTCATCCTAAAAACCCCTGCCCACGACCCCAAAAACTACACAAATGCAATAATTGTTCAAACTCATTATAATAAGAAACAAAAAAAAATCATAAATATGTATAATTGTGTTACTTAATACACGTGTAACTTGTAACCCAATATATACCAAACTAAATGCCACCAAAAAACACACATAATTTAAAAAAAAAAATCCCCAATACATCCACCAACACTAAAATAAACACCTAATTTATAACCCTTCTAATTATAAAATCCATATTCCACATATTAACAGAATTGCTGGTCCCACAGAAGGAGGGTTGAGCTTGGTGTTGGGCAAGCACAAAGGTTGCTTTTGGCAAAAAAAACATGAGAAGAAACACTGCAGCTTGCTTGTTTTGTGCTTAATATTAGAGGAAATGAAATTATTGACTCTGGCATGAGAAAAACYCCACAAAATGTGAAAATATGGGGTGTGTTGGACTCTGATAAAATATTATAAACAACTATTTATAATTACACTATTACATTAACAGTACTATTACTATTTATATTACAAAATATTTCYATTTATAGTGTAAAATATTTCTATTTATAGTGTAAAATACTTCTATTTATAGTATGAAATATTTCTATTTACATATAAAATGCTATAAAAATATTATTTAAAAGCCACCTGAGTAGGATTTGGAGGGAGAGGGATCTTTKTCTTTCTGTGCTTCTCCTCAGCTGGGATAATGGGATAACTTTGCTGTTCCAACAGGAGCTGTGTGGGGTAAAAGCAGAGCCAATTGTCAATTAAATCTTCACAATCACAGCCCTCCCTCCATCAGCCTTGTAAAAGGAGTTGTAGTTAAGGGATGAGGGGCTAAAAACCATGGAAATTTGGGGATGGTGTGATACCACCCCCTTTGTGTATGAAAATGGATATTTTTTATTTTTATTATTCTCATTCACAGCAGAGATGTACCTCAGCTGCTCCTTAGCACTGACATGGAAATCCATTTAAATCTGGGCTTGGAATTGTCCCAAATGGTTTCAGGATTCCTCAGCAYTTCCCATTTTGCCAAAGTTGCAGAAATTCTTCTTCAAAGAAGAATTTTCCTTCCTTTTCTTCCTGTTCCATCATGCCCAGCCCGTTCTGATGCACAGGAGGACTCTGCTGCTTCACTTCTGTTGACTCATTCAGCTTTGTTTTTTAACTTAATTATGAAAATCCTGCTGTGCTGAGTTAAATGGATGGCTACTTGGCTCAGCTCCTGCTTAAAATACAAATAAATTCATTAAGTTTTCTGTTTATGAATCATAACCAGGGGAAAAGTGCTGCCCTGAAAGGTCACTTGGTAAACATGTCCTGTGTTGTTGAGCATTTACAGGAATAAATTCCAGGAGAAACACCACAATTAATAAATATTCATAAATTAATAAATGTTTTAAAATTAATGAATATTTTTAAATGAATAAGTATTTTCTGGAAGGATTTTGATCTTCTGTTCCCGGTAGGTTTTATCACACAGCAGCTTGCTAAAACTGATTTCTAACAATCACTTATTTAACATTTTACCTTTGCAACAGCACTGACAGTTTAGTGGCTG